ATTCAGTGGGTAAATAACCTTATGTAGTCTTCGGTAGAACGAGAGCGAAAAACGACTGACCATTCACGACCACATGATTCATAGCGTTTATTGCACAGAGAGAATGATCACTCTAACGGATTGTTAAGTGATATGGAAATCAGAGAGCTGTTGATGACATGGGGTAGGTTTCAGGCCTGGTTCCCTGCCTGGCAGCATCAATTAACATCATTGAAATTGACAGTATTCAAAACTCTTAGGGCATAAGAGTTGCTTAGCAGCTCAACGTGTTTTCTATAAACCTATTTTTCTCAATTATTGCGCATTCCTCTGATAATCTTATCACAGTAAGCACCATCTACCATGGCAGCATGAATGACGCAAAGTAGAACACTCTAACGAAATTATAATAATAATAATGGATCGACGAATCTCCCTTAAGCCTCACGTGATCCATATAAGAAAAGGAAATATGATTGCAAATTTATAAAAGAAGAATTCGAACCAGCTATCTAAACCAATTCATGAGGGAAGCATGGAAAAGTATTTTCACAGTATCAGGTCATATCTGGTCAAGCACTGGTAAGTCATTCTTCATGCTGAAAGACGATACAGATTATGCATAACGAACCTAATTATTGTTGAAAAATCACGTTACTACGACAGTTGTATGTCAGGGCAAAATATGCCTGACAAAGCCTTAACCTGAATTGCGTGACACCTCACTTCTCCCTGAACAAAGGACGAAATTTTAAGGGTGTTGATGTGAATTATGCTAATGAAACCTGATGACCATTATTTCCTTCACCAGACCTCATTAGTAGATATTCTTCTTTACATATCAGCCTGTACATGCGTAATATCTTCTAAAGACCTTTCATAATAAGTCAATCGGCCTCTTTGTCGACTTGATTGGATTAACGCATGTTCTTGTGGGTCGCTAAGATAGCAGACTCAGGCAGACGGTGTTTGACCTTCGACAAATGATAACTCAAGTCTGGAGCAGAGTCAGTTGAGGAGTTTGCCACAGACCAGTTTTGGCCGACCCCGGCATCTTTTGGCCTGTCGGTTGACACCTGTGATTTATTTATTTTAGACATCCCTAAAGGTTGATTGCTATACTATAAAATTCATCTTCACAAAAGCGGGAACAAGCAACTAGCGAGCTAAAAAGATATGATATGATATGAAAAGATACGATATGATTTCAGTCACGCGAAAAGCTTCTTCGTTGGGTAAAAATCTTCGTACAGTTTTAGGTGTTGTTCTAGCGTTTCTTCTTGCATCTTCAATCTTGGCGTTGCTTCCTCATAAACGTCGGATAACATACTTTTTATCGATGGCTTCATCTTTTTTTCTCCTGAGGCCAAAGCCTTCATGATCTCTTCGGTGACCGCTTTTACCATATTTTTTTCATCTTCTTCTGTCAGTAAATTTTGAGCCATTAGATACTTCTTCAACCGCATTCTTGGGTTCATGTACGTTGTCCAGAACTGAACCTCTTCACTTTTGCTAAATAACTTTGAGCTAAATAACATAAAAATAGACTTTCAAGGGAACGATTAAATTTTACGTACTGAAAGTTTTTGAATAAAGGAGTATATGACTATCTAGATGTAGCCAAGCTACCGAATCTCTTGGATCCAGCAGCTATGAATATCAGGTATTCACTTATGTACCTCAGTAGGTCCTGAACACTACTTTCCAATGATGACCCATCTGACTATTTCTGTCATTTGGCATTCAGTGCTTGGCCTAAATAATATATTAAGTGGATTTTCTACGGATTCGATGTTGTGAATTATTCCTTATGCTTTGGATGTCTGAAAGTGTATATGCGACGTTTTCATCAGCGTTTTGCTCTAGGGGTCGCTGAAGATGTCATAGAACATTCCGCCGGCAATGGCCACAATCCTTACCGGTAGGAAGTACTGTCGTCAGACGTCGAGTGGTGGCCAACTCTGTAGGTAATCGCCTCTATCAGGCAGGGTTTTCCTTCGAGAGCCAATCGACGACCGGCCAAGGTGGCAGCGTAAACGGCGAATACGTCGTTGCCATCGACACGAATCGAATGCAGGCCGTGACCTAAGGCGACACCGGCTACGCCGTCGCCACCATATTGCTCATTGGCTGGGGTTGATATCGCGTAACCGTTGTTCCTACAGAAGAACACGACCGGACATCGTAGAGTAGCGGCGAAATTGAACGATACCCCACTGTCTCCTTCGCTCGCGGCTCCTTCACCAAAGTAGCACATCACCATCTGATTGTTCGAGGCTACTTTGTAGGCATAGGCGGAACCAACCTAAAAAGTCACAAACTTACGTTATTTCGTCACTAACTCATCCGTAGGCAATATTTTAATTTTACATCTCATACGCAAAATTCAACAATCTCTTGGCACGCTGAAAGTTCGCAAATAGGTACGGTAAGTTTTCAAATAGCTTCTTTGCTTGACGATCAGTGTTGCATTAGTTTGACATGAAGTTATGGAATGAGGAAAGAATCTTGTTTCGTATCGCTGTCTTTAAGTTACTAAACCGGCATGAACGTCAGAAGGCCTCCGTTTGTAATGTACCTTAGAAATCGTTTCAGCGCCTCCTATTATACATGTGAAGTTGCATCATTTCTCCCTTATGATCTATGTGAAAGACCAGACTGTCATGCAATCCTCGTTATTGTTCATGACCTTATTTTAATAAGATATTTCTATCTAGAATTAGATGCAGCGAAAGCAAATGAAATTGTCTATTCAGAGCAACTAGTATTTGGAGACAAATCTTTAGGCAACGTCATTGGTCCCTATTTTCTAGACCATGTCTGTCGACGTGAAGCAAGGGATATTTGTTTCCTTCTGCTAATACCATTATCAAGCATCATTTGCTCTTCCTGTGTGTCACCCAGTGTGTCATCAGGGATCAGTTCAAAGAGCAGACGGATCCATGGAAAAATTTCGTCATATTTTCTTTCTAACTTAGTTCGATAGGCGTCTGTAGAATGTCCTGCTTGGGTTTGTAATCCAAAATTCTCATAGACATATGCCATATAAGATATAAAAAAATGCTGTCAGCCGCGGTTGTGTGAGCCAACCCTTTCATGCTCTGCTGTGCCATCTCAACGTCGTGATTACCAGGGTATGGAATACCATTCAAAATGCTAATTTTTTCATGTCAAATCGGAATGAAACTTAATTGCTGGAAATATCTCGTTATGACAGAGTAATCATTCGTGTCATGCAGCGCGCAATTTAAACGTCAAATTTACAGGGCCGTCAATCAAGCCGGCTTGATGACAGCAATCACGTAACCGAAGCTTCTAATACAGGAAAAGTATTCAGTTCTAAGTGAACCTTCTGTAAAACGGCTGCTGCTACATATGTTAACCTCAGCATCAATACTATATTTGGTCACTGCAGTAACAAACGACGCATAATTCTCATAAAACTAGATTTTACAAGGGATTGCAGAGCCCTGTTGATCTTCGTTGCCTATGGGGCCTTTCAACCTTGCCACGGGTTCATTGCATTTGAGCACCTGCTCTGCCAAAAATTCATCTAGCGTCATTTCATTCGCCGGAGTCACCTGGAGCTGATTACGAACGATGCTTCAGGAGTTGCTAATCCTTACGTGCTAGCACATAATCATGCATTATCATACACTTTACTATGTCAAACTACGTTTAAGTATGAATTCTCCAAGATCACAGTTCACGGCGTATTGCATGATCCCTTTCCTCCTAGAATGAATAATCGTGCACAACGAATTGTCTGATTATTAGCCATGCTACATTAGAAAACCAGTGCATCGGAATTTGACATCCGTTGGTGAGTAAAGTAGGTTGTGCTTTTCCGATACAATGCGAATTTTAAATGACTTAGATTGCCTATATTTCATAACTTGACATTTTAATTACCTAATTAATGTCAGTTGGATATGGATGAGTCAACCGCAGCGAACCAATTAATTTATTATTTGGAATAAAAACCATCGTGGTATTATACGTTTGCTAAGAAGCTGCTAGTTTGCAATGACCCGCGGGAATAGCAATCTCCAGTCACTT